AATTTTTTTTAAAAAGGGGGGGGGGGGGGGGGGGGGGGGGGGGGGGGGGGGGGGGGGGGGTTGATTCTAAAGATAAACACCTGAACATAAATTTTCATATATTGAAACTTATATTGTAAAAGATAAATTACTTTCCTGACATTTATTTGGCTTCTACCAAATTTAATTATTTAGGAAAAACATGACAGAGATGGGTCAGCTTAGAGGAGCTTTAAGGTAGAATATCTTTATAAGACAAGAGTTACAAATCAAGTTACAAGTATTATTAAAGTTACAAGAATTACAGTGATTATCATAGTCATGACTCTCATGAGTTACGGTACAAGGGAACATACAACAAACATACAATAAACATACAATAAGCATACAACATACATCAAAAAGAGAAAACCAGACAACTAACATACAACAAACATACAGAAAAACATACAACAAACATACAACTAACATACATCAAACATACAATAAACATTAACAAAATACAACAAAAATTTTACAAACGTACAAGAAACGGAAACAAACAGACAACAAACGTATAAAAAACATACCACAAACATGAAACAAACATACAATAAACAAACAACAAACAAACATACAACAGACATCAAAAAGACAAAACCAGACAACTAACATACAACTAACATACAGAAAAACATACAACAAACATACAACAAACATACAACAAACATACAACAAACATACAACTAACATACATCAAACATACAACAAACATTAACAAAATACAACAAAAATACAACAAAAATTCTACAAACGTACAAGAAACAGAAACAAACAGACAACAAACGTATAAAAAACATACCACAAACATACAACAAGCATGAAAAAAACATACAATGAACATTTAACAAACATGCAACAAACGTAAAACATGCATACAACAAACATACAAACAAACATACAACAAACATACAATAGACGGCAAACAAAGTGTTAGAGATGTTAAAGAAGTATAAAGAATTTTTTGATATTTATAGATTTGATCCACGAGATAAGAAGTTTGTTTGGTATTTTAACCAGAAGGATAAACCAAAGGTTGCCTTTCATGTCAACGAAGATACCAAGGAAATCCAACAAGTCTTAAATTACCAGTCACGTATTTAAACCGGGTTAATGCTGATTAATAATTACAGTTAAGTTTAAAGGGACTGACGTTGTGATTTATAGTAGTTTTCCATTTAAAAAGGGTTATGCCCGTTTGAAAAGCTTAATCTGATCGATTATGTCAAAGAAAACGTCGTTTTTCTAGCTTAAAGTGGAGAGTTCACACAATTGTCACAATCCACATTAAAATTCAACCAAAATTGAAATTATAAAGAGAAAAATAATGGATATCTAAGTTTTGGGGGACCGTTGTGATTAATATCGAACATGTCACTCTATCTAATAATTTATTTTCCGTTGAAAATAAGACAGATTGAGCAATAAAACTAAAAATATATGAAGGGAGAAATTAATACTTCTTACTAATTTTAAGAAAATATTTTCATGACCCGATGTCAAAACTCCTGGCATTTTTTATCATTATTCATCAATAAAAGTGCTTTCTTTAAATCGCCACCTTCATCTATTATTTATTTGTTGGAACTACAAAATTACTTCATTCATTGTTTTTTTATTCTCTTCACGTCCAGGCCCTGACGGAATACATTATTCATTAACAATTTTAACACCTAAAATTTGGGACAGAAAAATATCTAGAAAGTTGACAAAAAAAATGAACGGTTTTACTTAAATTAAAATTTTAGTGATTTTTGGTTCACATTTTTAAGGGGTTTATTTTCCTAATTCTCGATAGGAAAAAATGAATTTTAGGTGTTTAATAACAATGAATAAGAAAAAACTCCCGTTTTTATTAAAAAAAAATGGAACTAATGTTTTCTTAGTTTTAAATAGTTCTTACTTCGAAAAAAACCGGTGAAGTTTGGGAGCCACATAATGCCTATTATTTGATTTTTAATAAATAAAATATTTTTAAGATTACACCCTGGAAAGCCACCCTGCTTTTCTTTGGAAGTACTCTCCAGAGAGCTTGAACTATACAACCTGGCGAGAATGAAAGGTTGAAAGAAATTCCTGGAATTATTGCAAAATTTGAAAAGTAAATGAGTCCAGTAAAAGTTTGATTGGAAATTGTTAAGATTCTGGGCTTCTGAAAGAAAACTAAGTTTTGAAGAAAATTATCTTTTTTTTAAACTTAATAACTTTTCATTCTACTTCAAGGGATATTATAAAATACAGTGGGATACATAAAACTGTGGAATAAGAAGACTATTGTGATTTTAAATAAACATCAAACAATAAACATAGCAATTTTGCAGTTTAACACAGAACGTTTTCGTTCAATAAATTAATGATTAACCTACTGGAAAACAATTTGTACTTGAGAACATCAAATACTAATAAAATTGTTGTTCTGGTCTCCACAGCATTTTTATAGTGAAATGTCATTTACATAAATATAGAATACAGCTCAATATAGTACATAAATGTTTATAAACATTAGAATATTTTTATTATTACATTTTTCTCATAATCTATTTTCTTCTTAGTTCTGTATTAGTTTTTCTTATAATATAATTTCCATCAGCTAATTTGTAATACTTGGTCTCATCTTTAGAAATATTTTCTGAGGATTAATGCAAACAGGTCCCCCTCCCCCTCCCTACAACCCTGCATCTCCCTCCTTCCCTTTCTTTTCTACTCTTGGATTATCACAAACTTTTTGTAAATAAAAATAAATAAATAAATAATACGGAAAGGTCTAGTATAAAATTGCATGAAAACACCCCCATAAAATACTTTGTGATCTGTCCCATTTTAAATAAATAATAATGTTTCTTAACATTAAAAACTCAAAACTTAACCGTTGGCACTTTAGATACTTTTTTTCTTTTCGTTCTTAGGCTTTTAACTGAAAAAAATACTCTATTCCTCTGGTCCGTAGAATTTTAAGAATAAATGCATCGTCATCTTTAAAAGTTTTGTTTTAACAAAATGAAATCTTTTTTATCTATAATGTTTTTAAAGCATAAAAGCGCACTTTTTTTACCCCAAACAATTGAAATTAAACAAGTAGCTTTATATAACATTAAATTTGTGGATAAGTAATCAGCATGGGAAAATTATATTTTTTTGGCATTACAGGTTACACTTAATGAAGCTTGTTTTGGAAGATAATGATTTTATCCTAAATTTAAGCTTGATTCTTTTTTACAATTTTTGATTCTTTTTTACAATTTTTGGATTCATCTTCAACCTAGAACATTTGGAAAATGTAAAATTTTCGAATTAAATCTAAAAATGGATAATTATAAAAAATTGTTGGATTAAATCTAGAAAATTGATGCTGATGATCTCGGAAAGTTCTACAAGTCAAAGGATGCTGTCTCGTAAGTATTAATTGGTTTATTTTCTCTAGAATAATTTCCTGGATATCGTTGTTTTGTCGTCTTCCATGTATAATAAAAAAAACTTTATGATGATACATTATTATAGCATTTCTAAAACTGATACAATATTAACAGTCAATTGATTGTCCATCATAAATAGTTTTTTTTTTGAATTTTAAACTTTAAATTGCTCAAATTGGATATTGAGATCAAACGAAAATTTAAATTACTTGACACAAGAGGTCGGACCTATAAGTCTGGTCAGAGAAAAGATCTAAATTGGAATTCATTTTCAAATTAAATTTAATAGAAAAGAAAAATCACAGTGCAGCAATAAATTGTATATAAGACCAAGAAGGTGAAAGGGACTGTTAAGGTAAAATAAAATGGGGTCCGGTATGAGCTAAAGCTTTTGGCGTTTATCCCAACCAATAAAAGTTATTGATCTCTGTAACTAGAGTCCAAGTTACATACTTTGTATAGTCGACCTAGACACCTGACCAGATTCAGATCACGTGATACAGATAAACAAGATTGAAATCAATTATATCATATCTATAAAAAATGAATAAATATTATATTCAAATAAATATAAGCCTAAAATTTTGGGTTATCCTATTTTAAAATAAATAAATAAGAATAAAATAATAAATAAAATAATAAAATAAATAATAAAATAGATACCAGTAATAAGGTATATAGAAATAAACGATTATCAATCAATCAATCAATCCTAATTTTCAGATTCATTCCGTACTTGCTAAATATGATCTGCTTAAACTTTGATTCAAATACCATATCACTGATATGTAAATTTTGGTATAGCTTGGACAGTGGACACAGTTTTATGTCAAATCTGAGACATCAGAAAGAACTAATATTGGTTGCGATCAACTCCATAAATGTTTAGGGTTCAACCTTTACCCCCTTTCATTTTATCTGAACAGTCCCTTTAATGTAAAGTTTTAAACGTCATACCAGCCACCATCATCAAGATGTGGAGTTTATTTTAGAGAAAACTCTTGAAGTAATTTTTCTTTTGTTCTCCTTCTTGCATAAACATTAACTTTGGAAAAGAAAACTTTGCATACTCTAAAGAGCATAAACAATAGTTCAGTCTCTCACAATTTCCACAAAGGGGGGGGGGGTTCCATTTTAAAAACATTGAACAATATACAGGGGTTACCCACAACAGATGGGACTGTAAATACGACCGGAAACTGTTTAAAAGTGACGATCCCAAGACTTAACCATGTATTCTGTCTAATATATTTTTACTTTTTTGATGATTTGGCAAAGAAATATACAAGTTCAAAGTTGCAGGGAATCACGAATAAAGGGAACAGACATTATACATTCCTGAAAATCGTTTGTTCTAGAGTAAATTGTTTTTTCCTGGCCGTGCACGGTTTTCCTGGAATTGCTTGTTTTTTCCCCTACAGGCATAGATTGTGCCATAGTCAATTCACAAGGGTAAAATTGTCCATTTTACGTGTTAACCGCCCAATATATTTTTTATTTAATAAATAACATTGAATATCTGTGGATTTCAGTCAAGGTCAGACCGCAAATGGAGACCCAATAGCTAGCAATCCATAAAATACATATTACCTTGCAGATCCTTATTTTTTTTACGTCTTCCCAATTTTTTGTTTAAGAGGAATATTATAAAGTGTCTTGTGTCTTTTGTTAAAATGTAATTTCTTATCTTTAGTTAAATATTTTCTCAACTTTTTATATATTATCACATGAAACGGATAAAAATGGTATTTTAAATGATATAAGGGGTAAATTATTGGATAATGAGACTTGATTTTTTAAATAATATTTTAAAGAAAGGGAGGAAATTTAAAGGATAATACAATTTTTTTGCTTGGTAAAAGGCTGTGGTGGAATATTTCAAGATTGAGGCGGAATTTTTTATTATCAAATGAGAATTTACAAGCATGGTAGGGTATTGAATTGTTTATTGGTTTGATATTTAGAGATAATAGAAGTGGTAAAACTTTATTATTTCCCTCTCCCCACACCAGATCTACGGAAATCATTTCCCTCCATCAACTCCACAGTGAGGGGGGGGGGGGCATTTTTCAAAATATATACCACTAATATATTCTGTTTCTTTGAATTTAATTCGGTTTTGTCAAAAATATACATTCCTGTCTTATTCTACTCTCAGTCCAGGCGAATAATTTTATTCACCCTTTTCTCCACAAACATTTAGCAAGAATTTCAACGAGATTCTTTACTTAAACTTGGCACGAATTTTTTGTTAGATTTTAGTTAATATTAAATATTTAATCAAATTTAACTGCATCATTTTAATGAAATGCATTTGAGTACTTTCTATGCATTTTCTTTTTAATTGCAAATGATAAGAATATTTCATGAAGCTAACACAGATCATGTTTAAAGTACAAAAGAAATGTTATCATTACTGCGAAAATTTTAGATAGATACATTAAATATTTTCCCGTAAGAGTAAATTTAGTAAGTAAAACCAGATGTTTTCATCCGGAAACAGTTTTTCGTACAAGGCCAGTTAATTATAGTCTCATTTTCCTTAGGACACTTATTAGAGGTCTTATTTTCCTATATGGCCCTTATTCACAGTCTTATTTTTCTTAGGGTCCTCATTCACAGTCTTATTTTTCTTAGGGCGCTTATTTACGTTCTTGTTTTCCTTAGGGCACTGATTTACAGTCTTATTTTCCTTAGGGCACTTATTTACAATATTATTTTTCTTATGGCACTTATTTACAGTATTATTTTTCTTAGTGCACTTATTTAACAGTATTTTTTTCCTTAGGGCACTTATTAACACTGTTATTTTCCTTAGGGAACTTATTTACAGTATTATTTTTCTTAGGGCACTTATTTACAGTATTATTTTCCTTAGGGCAATTATTAACAGTATTATTTTTCTTAGGGCACTTATTTACAGTCATGTTTTTCATAGGGCACTGACTGAAAGTCTCATTTTCCTTAGGGCACTTATCTACAATCTTATTTTCCTTAGGGCACTTATTTACGGGTTCATTTTCCTTACAGCACTTATTTCCGGTCGTAATTTCAGCAGACAATCAAATTACAGTTCAAATTTTCGTTAGGGCACTTTTCGATATCCTTAATTTCCGTATGACACATGTTTATTGTTAACAGGCTTACGCTCAATCTTCAAATTTCTTTAGCTGAATAAAATTCAAATTTAAATAGATTCAGAATAGGAACGAATTAAGCCCTACAATGACCTCATAAATTACGCCTGTTTGATACGCAGAACAACAAACTACGTTTTTATACTGTATATTTTACAAGTTTATATAAAGATTATATTCAACAATTTACATTGTAAACAAGAATAATTTTTGATCTGTTTTTTTATGGACGATCCAAAGATTGTGATTAATCATGGATAAAAACATTTGTTTGATATTTTGTTTTACTAAATTTTCAAGTTTAATTACCTATAAAACTGAGAAATCTACTAAATTGTTATTTTTTTCCCGGTTTTTTATGTTCACAGAAGAGAAGACTACACAGGAATTGGTTATAAATTAGATGGGCGTGAAAATTTAAAGGGTAAAAATAATTAATATTAGGTTAGAAAGCATCAAAAAGGTTGGAAAACCCTTGGCAGTTGATTTCAAATTGTTTATTTTTTCCCCCAAAGCTTCGGGGGGGGGGGGGGGGATAATTCTTGAAAATATATACACTAAGCCTTGTATACATTGTTCATACCCAACAAGCTATAACAGATGTTTTAACATATTTCAGTACAAGATCGGACAATTGTACATGATAGCTAAGCATAGCCATGAGCAGTCCCAGAAGGGAGAGGGGGTAGAAGTTGTGGAAAATAGACCTCATGAGGTAAACTTTTAAAAATATTATACAGTGATTGGCGATTATATCAATACAATACAGACGACTTTGTTATTTAAGTTTTGATTGTTAACAAGCTTTTTTCGAATTAAAAGTTTACAAGTTATGAAAGAGAAGCTGTTTTAATTAACAACTTATTGCTATGTTTATGTGTATCCATGCTGAGTATCCATCCATGCTGTTTAACAGTTTGACATAAATAAAAATTGAAAACGAAAGTCGTCTTCATTGTTTTATCAGGATTATTGCTTTTTTACTGATATAAAGGGTTACCCACAAATGACGAGACTTCCAATACGAATGTACGTAATTTATTCATTTCTTATTCTTACATTTATGCATCCATGCATTCTTTCTGTACCAAACCATTTAATAAACCGTTGAAGGCAGGAGACCAATTCTAACCTCCATATCATGATATTTAAAGAGTTCTGGGTCGTCATTTTAGTCTCATGCTTTGATGTGGTAACCTGTTAATATACATGATATACAATACATAATATTTTTAAATATTAATATTTTTATGTTGTTTTAGGACCCTGAACACGGAAAAGGACAATATACAGAGAAAAGGATTCATCTATCTAGCAAACTTCCATCATGGATTAGGTAATATTCCATTGAGTGTTTCAATTTTTTTGGGTGATTTAACAATCTTGCATTTCAAAAAACCATTTTTCATGGCTTCGAAAAACATTTTTTCCTTTTTTAAGAAAAAAAATCCATTTTGGGGATCTTCCCCTTTAAAGTTTACGATTTTTACCAATCTGAATATTTTTAGATCAATGGTTCCCAAAATATTCTAATACTTCTAGATCAATGGTTCCCAAAATATTCTAATACTTCTAGATCAATGGTTTCTAAAATATTCTAATATTTCTAGATCAATGGTTTCTAAAATATTCTAATATTTCTAGATCAATGGTTCCCAAAATATTCTAATATTTGCAGATTAATGGTTCCCAAATATTCTAATTCTTCTAGAACAATGGTTCCCAATATATTCTAATACTTCTAGATCAATGGTTCCCAAAATATTCTAATACTTTTAGATCAATGGTTCCCAAAATATTCTATGTAACTGAGAAGGCCTGGAACTATTATCCCTTCACAATAACAGAATATTCGGTAAGTGCTTAAAAAAGAAAATTGTATTTTTCAGGCTTTTTAGTGATTTCTCCAACATTAAATCGTCGGATCGCAACCGTAGGGACGATTTCGTTCACACTATTTTTTAGGTCTTAATGCACACACACGGTAGGCTATTGGCGCGGTTCTATTATTGATGAAACCTAATCATTAATTTGTATTTAGTGTTCTTTCCTACCCCGTTTTCACGTGCATATCCTCACTAAGTACGAGAATAACAATGGGTCAACAGAAAACTGCCTCAACTGCTCAGAGGTATCTGTATATATGTACTTTGTTTGTCTGTTTGTATCCAATAAATGTTAAAACGGCTGAACCGATCGGTCCCAAATTTCGTGTGGAACCTCACGTGCCCCCATGGAAATTTTATTAATAATGAAAAGTTCAAAAATTTGTCTCCAACAAAATTCGATTTTCGGTAAAGAAAATCTACAAAATTTTGCTATAAAATCCGTTATTTTTTTTTTTGGTTTTGTTTTACAAAGAAAAAATGTCCAAAACTGAAAAAGAAGATGGGCTCGAAGCGCTCTAAAAAGCCTGGTCTTTTTATAAGGGACCAGGGTTGTATATTTAAAGAACTGCCCCCCCTCACTCCCCGATGGTGAGGGAAAAAAATGATTATCTTAGTTATGGGAGGAAAATAAAAACTATAAATCAAAATGCAAGGTTTTTCATACCTAACTTCTAGGGGGGAGAGGAATGGTTGTTCAAGAAAATAAACACCCCTAGATATCCACGTAATTTAGGTTTAAAAACAAGATAATAAAGTTCATTTTTCAATGGATGTCGAGATATTATTTGTCAGATTAAAGGCTGAAAGCAATTATTATTATTATTATTATGTTAGATTTTTTAAGCTTACCACACGACATTAATCATCTAAGATTTATCGAGAAAAATATAAGAATTATGAATTCAACTCACCATGCCATTAACTTAAATCAAGAAGTTATATATTCAATATCCGATATCCAATTCGTAAAATATTATTGAGATCAATGAGTAATCACATTTATATTCCAAAATATTTCAATAACGGGTTGAAAGAAAATGCAATGTTGATTGCTAAAATTCTTGTTCGAAAGAAGAGCTATAAATTTAGCAGAAAAAAGAATAATTTTTCAGGAATCTCTAAAGGGGAGAACAATTGATCATATCGACATTTCCTTAGATGAATGCTCTGCTCACCATTATAAGGTAAATAGTATAAAAATAAGTAAAACAATTTTTTAGTGTTCGAAATAGTTTTAGATTAAGCACGAAATTTGACCACTTTAGTTTCCTATTAAAATTTTTTTTCAGTATTTGTTTAAATAACTATCTGCTCCTTGGACCACACATTTTTGTGGGAGAAAAAAAAACAGTAAAATTTAACTGAACGACGGTTGTTATCATGGTTTTAGTAGTAGTTAACAAAGAATTATCTCCGAATCGGTAACTGAGGCCTTAAATTAAGGGCGATATTTTTTTAACGAATGACTCAGTGTTTTGTTGAATTAAGATCTGTCTAAACAAAACCGTACAAGGTACAAGAAGAGTTCATTAATTAAGAGAAAAATAGGAAGAGCTTGTTTAGTAATGCCTTTAGAAAATATTTGAGATAATTAAATGAATAATTAATGTTTTCTATGAATTTATCACTAATTAAGGTTGAGGAGGACGTTAAAATATTCAAATCTGTGAAAACAGGACGGGGTCCTCTTGAGGAGGGCTGGAGAGAGGACAGTAAGCCTATAATGTGCAGGTATAGCATATGGCACGATATTCTCCAGAAAGGAAGAGTAAACCTAATGTAAATATTAGAAAGGACATGGACCTATGGGAAGGACATGGACCTATGGGAAGGACATGCAGTAAACCTATGAAGTCCTACGAAGTCCAATTAATTATCTTATTTACTCTTCGTTCATTTGCCAACTCGAGCATTTAGTCTTTTAAATGCTCGAAATAAAAACAAAAATGGTCGATCCTAATTATCAGCTTGATACATTAAACTTTATATAAAATGTTTTGCAAAAGCTTGTTCATTGTTTTCATCTATATTCAAATCTCCATTAATTGTTTAGTTACAAGCTGGTGGAGGTTAAATTCGACATGATGTATCTGCTCCAGTCAAAGATTGAAGAATTCGTACATAGGGTAAATAATGAATATCAGTGAAAAGGGTCCATTTACTTTTTTGATGATCCGGATCCAGGGATCCAACTAGGGGGAGGGGGGTCTTATGCCCCCCCCTTCCCCTCCCCAATACAAATATAAAGAACTTCAATAATTTCCAAAATATTTTTTGTAACGCACTTTCACTTTTTTCATGAATTTAAAAATTCGTTTAGCGGGGTTATTTTGTAAACGATTGAATGGCAAAGGGAATGTCTTTGTATTGTCATTGGTTTTATATTAAATGCCCGATTTACAACGGTACCCTTTTAGTTACCTTCATCTGATCTATAATGAGGAAGAACTCGTCGCTTGATAAGTGTTTAATTCTGTAAATCTTCTTTACTGTTTTTGAAGCAATAAAACACAATGGAAAAAGTCAATATTTAGGGAGAAAATGATTATTGCATTCTTGATCAGACAAAGTATAAAGGGTGCCGTTGTGACTCAGACATGTCACTCTAAACTGGAAGAAAGTATTAAGGGTGCCGTTGTGAATCAGACATGCTATTCTAAACTGGAAGAAAGTATAAAGGGTGCCGTTGTGAATCAGACATGTCACTCTAAACTGGAAGAGTCAATTAAAATTAAAGATTTCACTAAAATATAGAATTGGATTTTCTATCAACTCTGTGCAGGATTTAAGAGGATTTAAGTTTATTTGGAAAAATTCTAGTTAATTCTTGTGAAATATTTCTAGAAAATAAAATATTAATAAATTTGCAATTCTTGGCTTGGCAATCAGTTAATTGTTTAGAAAAGAAGCAGTTAATTGTTTGGAAAAGAAGCAGTTAATTGTTTAGAAAAGAAGCAGTTAATTGTTTAGAAAAGAAGCAGCTAATTGTTTAGGAAAGAAGCAGTTAATTGTTAGTGTTAAAAAAGAAATACTTGTAAATTGTTCAATGTTGATATATTAATTCTACAACAAAATTACGATTCCGTATGATATTTAAAATTCTGAATTAAAGAATGAACCCTTTTCATTTTCCAACAACGCTTCTAAAATTCTCTTAAAGGGACAAACGTAATTTCAAGTGACCATTTATTAAAAATTAAAATAGGTACATGCCGTTTCGCAATATTTCTCTTCAAACGTTTGCCTGGTCAAAAATTAAGAAAGTACTTATATTTTTCAATATAAGAAGTACACTATTAGAAGGTACCGTAGTGAATCGGGCATGTTATAATTCTTTGATTGGAGGGTTATTTGAAATCACGTCGGCAGTCCCCTTAAGTATAAATTTCTTTATTACCTATTTCATCTAGACTAGTTTTTAACCCAAATGGTTTTTGGATTGTAACACAGATAGAAAATTTTATTTAAAACTTAAGAGAATATTTATTAGATATGTATGCGGCCCCCTTCATTACCTTTTAAAATAGCACCTATATATCTGTACCTTTACACGTTGTTCTGTTACAATTTTTACTTGCCAGATTAATCAGTAATCACTGTGATGTCAAATCAAAAAATATTAATATTGTACATTGTGTTTAACATGTATTTACGATATCATTCCATTGTTTAAAAGAGACTTTTGCTGGAATTTCAAATGAACCCGTCCCCATTTATAAACTGGCATGTCTTAGTCACAACAGAACCCTATAAAGGTTTGTCTGAACAATAATTAACGAGATATCCATGTTTTTCACTTTTAATTTGTTTTAGTTTTATTTAATTAAAAATGATTTGAGGATTTTCACACAATAATTAAATAGAGCTTAAAATCTGCAAACACAACGATATCGTCCACTTTATTGATAAAAGGAAACTGTTGTGAATCTGACATACTCCTCTTTTTTGTTTTGTAATGAAGGGTCACTTGAAATTACAGCGACAGTCACTTTAATCAAACTGAGTCCGAATTTAATAAATTAAAAATTTAATTCGAGGCTTAAATTCTTACAATTCGGCCTCTGAACCTTTTAAATACCCTAGTCAGTAAGATTAGTCTTGTTTAACATATCTAGATATGAAAAATATCTTTAAAAACATCAAATCAAAAAAAAACTACTTGTTAAATGTACAATATATTCTATGTTTATTGTCAATTCTAGATAGCTATAAGTAACCTGATATTGCACTGCATGTTTATAGTCAACCCATCCAACCTATCATTAGGATTAATCTAAACTACCTTTTAGCAACTACCTCCGCTCGAACATAAAGTTTGAAAAAAATCAAAAAGTATCTTGTTTTTCCACCGCAATAAAAACAAAAATATAGCTTCACTCGATAACCAAAACTTTAAACCATTTTAACAAGAAGTTTGTAATCAATAGCTATACACCTTTTATTAAAAATTTTTATTATTTTTTGATAAAAGAAATCAAGACATTTTCGTCAGCAAGGTTTATTACCGTAAATTGAATTTTTAAATGCGGGTATTTTCCTTCTTTCTGATTCACAACTTACAATTTTTGTACAGTTAGCTTACTTTTTTCAAAAATCCATTTTAGCTAATAAATATCTTGCTGTTACGCTAAATTGCCGCTTTAGGGATTTTAAATTTAACCAGAAGCAGCCAAAAGTCAAACCCCGTCAACCTAGTTGTCAGTTTATTTGGTGTCATCGGCGGGGCAGTACAAACTTGTGCCGTAAAATGTCGTGTCAGCTCAGATTTAAATGTGCATGAGTTGAGTGTGACTGTATCTAATGTTTTCTTAAACAAGGTGGCTGGTGAATGATGATTAATATTTCTTAATTCTATATTTGTTTTTAAGTTCAAAGATCAAGTATTTATCTTAGAATTGATAGAAGTTTAGTGAGTTCTGTCTCAGTATACACACAAGTGGGTTTCAAGAGATATAACAAATGCTTAGGATCCGTCCTAAAAATAGATCCGGACCAAACTCAAAAAAAAAATACAGAAACTACATATTTTTGGATTTTTTCCTCACTTTCCCACGGGTTTATTTGGCTGACTACATCCTGATTCTGAACCTGAAGAGCTGTAGTTTAACGAGTCCCTTCATTTAAGTTGGGTATGCCCGAGTTACAGCAGCGCTCTTTTAATCTGTATATGATCAACAATGTGGAAGATAACGTCGTTTTTTAATGTTCTATGTAGAAGCTACGTTTGAAAACTATGAAAATTGAGAAAGATCAGATTTAAGGGGTATCGTTGTGGATCGGGCACTGGAAATTAAAAATATTGGAGATTCTATGGATCCATAGCACTGCTCGTAGTTTTTCCTCACAGTAAATAATAAATGTACTGTCGTTCTGTAATATGCTCACAAAAATAAACACTAAGGGACTGTTCACGTTATTTTAAAGATATTACAGAAGTTCTTCAAGCATTCACAGTTCACACATTTATGATGACGCTAAGCCGTTTCTTGAAACTGTGAATCGTTGATATGACACTTTTTAAATTGATTGTCAGTTAAGATACGCTAACAGTCCCTTTTTTAAAAACAGGGTTTGTTGGAAATCCGCTTGTAGTGAATAACGATATCTTGATGTAATAATAACAATGATAATAATTATGCTTGTTAAAAATGTTGATAAAATATAGTTGTATAATGTATACGGGTGATCCAAAAATGTCAACAAATTATTGTTAATGCTAAGAAATGATTTATTTATTAGTATAAAATTACATGTACCCCCCCTACCTTCAGTACCCACTTTTTTATTTCTATCTTTAAACATTTTATAAAACATTTATCGTATAAAAATAATGTTTTTATTACAACATTGTTAACATAGCATTTCTTTTTTATCTTTAAACATTTTATAAAACATTCATCTTAAAAAAGTTAAGCTATTTAGTTTTTGAACAAACTGTTATTAAGAAAAACTGGTGAATTTGTTTACTGTGATTTTTGCTTAGTATTGAATTATCCGTTGTGCTGAGAAGAAATTAAGTTTATGCATTATCAGTTTTTACATAATTTTAACATTAATACTCAGAAGCTTTTTCTTCAATATAATAAAATTTAACCCCCCGCCCCCCCGATGTGTGATAAATGTTAGCTATTGATTAAAGTCAAAATTAATCTTAAGATTTTTTTCCATAAATTTGCATATTGAATGTAAAATGTAGAAAATTTAAACAAAAAAAAATTTATGTTATTGTACCTAATATATAATAGATCCCAATATATTATATCTATCGTTTATGTGATCATTACTAGATAAGTTCGTGGAGAGAGATGGCAATATATATATAAATATGTATATGTATATTTATCGTCGTGTTATTGTTTCAGATTATAGAATGCTTGTTAAGGAATACAGAATATGTATGCCACTGACAGTAGAAGAGGTAAAATAGAAAATACTCCGCCCTGCATTGTTTTCCCTCCCCTAAAATATTAAAATACCTGGAATAAAATGTTAAATTTGAAAGTTAATCATTAAACAAGTATCTAGCTGAAGCACCCGGCGATGCCCGAGGGATTTTTGTAACGCTTGAATGTTTTTCGATATTTTAAATTGGAATTTTTAGGATATCCTTGGGTTATCTAAAATTGTCAGCCAATTTGGTCCAGCAGTTAGGGCAGCTATAGCTAACATATAAAATATATATGACCGAAGAGCTTTATTATATATGCATAGACAAATGCCATTTAGCAACTGCAAAGGTGATGGGGGGGGGGG